CTTGGCGCAGGCTACACGCGGGGCCAGGGAAAGACCCAGGGCCTGGCAGGATCTGAAGTGCATGGGAAGTGAGCAACGGATGCCTGTCCAGTTCCAACCAGCCAGGAGCACACACCACCATTGGCAGGGTCTGTTCTCGCTGGGCACAAACACCCCACTCCTCTCTCTTGGGCCCTCCAGTGGCGTAGGAGGGGTGACAGCCCTGGGGAGAATGTACTGCCTCTGCCCGCTCTGCGCCTACCCAGGCACGAGAAGACGCCAACCTCCTGTGCCAGCTAAGTTTAACACAGAAAAGCACGTCGCTGTGCAATGCAATCCCACCCACCAAAGGGCTGGGAGGGTTTGTCTCCATAGCAAGCTGCTGTTACCGGCATCTCCACTGGCACAGAGGCTGCTGCTGGAAGCCACCAAGCTGAGCACAGCAGGAAAGTTATAGAGGCCGTAATGACAGGGTTTTGTTCTCCTTACGAGATAATAGCAGGGGGAAGAGAGCAGGGTCCGAGGATAACCGTCGCCTGCTACTAGACACATCCAGTGGCATTTATCAAACTCCAAAGCAGATAGGGGCCGGGCATCAGCCCCGGGACATCGGTTCACTACAGTGAATTTTATGTTAACTGCATGCAGGCACCAATGCTGAGTCCGTCATGCACCCGCCACTCCCAGCCGACGCTGGACCGATAGCGAGAAGTCTGCACCGTCTGGGGGAGTCAAGGAGTTGTTCCCAGCTTCACACACACACAGCAGCTTAACCCCAGTCCAGGCCTTATCTCCTGCCCCAAACAAGCCTACTGGCGTTTAAGGAATAAACCGGCTTCCCCTTGCCTGTGTTTTTAGCAAATGAGAGGCAGGCCTAAGGGGCAGATGTTAATGGCATCTGGGGGGATTGTGAAGTGCTGCAGAAAGCTGGGTAGTCAGAGAGCCCTTTGTATGCAGGGCACCCCAGAGTGCTCTGTAAGACAGGCCAATACTCGGTCTGACACATATCACAGCCATGCTGTGCTCAGCCACCACTCACCCAGCCCCTCGTCCCTCTGAACCTGTTTTATCCACAGGGGGAGGCTCCCACTTCATTTCCAGTTAACTGGAGGTGCTCTGCACCTGGCTTCCGTGTACGTCTGCAAATGGGGGCCCAAGGAGAGCTCCCAAGGGGCTGCCCGTCTCTCCGTGGGTGGAGGCTAGGCACATGGGAGCGAGTGAGGATGCTGTACCAAGCTACCAGCCACAGTGGCACATCAGGGTTCACAGAAACTGCCTCAGGTGAGCTCTGGGCAGCACTGAACCTGCCCACTGCCCCACTGGCATGGGGCACCACGCCACCAGCGCCATGGCACAGTCAAGCCCTTGCTGTGCCTTGTGCATTTTGAGATCCACTGCTGTGCCGTCGGGACTGTAGACGGGACCCATAGGTGCATGGCCCTTCTCATGGTGGGCAAGAGCTTAGGGCAAAGTTAGACGCCTCCATCCACACGGACGTTGATGGGAGCGAGGGTGCCAGCGTCTCTGGGAAACACCAAGGGGAGAGGAAAACAAAGGAAGAGCTGGGGAGTGGATTCTGTGGCCAGGAGCAAAGACATGAGAGAAAATTCTCTGATTTATAATGGGAACGCCCGTGACTTTCCTCTCCAAAAGCAGCAAGGCCGCAGCGCCTGCTGGTTTGGCAGGGAGGGCTAGCTCCTTAAAGACTGCTGTTTCCACTTAACTACCACCGAGACAGAGCTGGTAGCTGTGCCTCCGTGCCACACCATTCCCTTCACCTTCTTGCCAAGCTAACGCCAGACTTCCCCGCCCCCTCATAAGAGAAATAGCCAACGCACGTCCATTACGACTGGCTGCAAAATGAATGCCCAGCTACGTCTGCCATACCTAGGCAGGAAGGAAATCCAAAGCAAAGAACATCGAGTCAATAAATAAAGCTAGTTAACGTAAACCCAACGGTGAGGTGAAGAAACTGGGTGTGTAACGGGCAGGAAATGCCAGAAGGCTAGGTTTCACCCACTCCGTTAACATGGCTCCAGTGCACATCCTGTGTAGTTCTTAGGAAAGATTCCATAAATACTAGCAGTGTTCGTATTTGATCATAGAATCAATTATAGAATTAGAAGATTAGGGTTGGAAGAGACCTCAGGAGGTCATCTAGTCCAACCCCCTGCTCAAAGCAGGACCAACCCCAACCCAATCATCCCAGCCAGGGCTTTGTGAAGCCGGGCCTTAAAAGCCTCAAAGGATGGAGATTCCACCACCTCCCTAAGTAACCCATTCCAGTGCTTCACCACCCTCCTAGTGAAATAGTGTTTCCTAATATCCAACCTAGACCTCCCCCACTGCAACTTGAGACCATTGCTCCTTGTTCTGTCATCTGCCACCACTGAGAACAGCCGAGCTCCATCCTCTTTGGAACCCCCCTTCAGGTAGTTGAAAGCAGCTATCAAATCCCCCCTCACTCTTCTCTTCTGAAGACTAAACAATCCCAGTTCCCTCAGCCTCTCCTCATAAGTCATGTGCTCCAGCCCCCTAATCATTTTTGTTGCCCTCCGCTGGACTCTCTCCAATTTGTCCACATCCTTTTTGTAGTGGGGGACGGGGTGAGGGGGGGACGCAACTGAGGAGGAAAGAGGAGGGTGGTTTTTTTTAGTAAATAAAAATACAAGATGTGTGTCATGCAGCCAAGGTAACATTCTGGGTGGAACAGTTGGCTAGACACTCAGGGTACATCACTGAGACTCACCGCCATCTGGGTGGGTTTTTTCTGTTTGTTTGTTTTTTGCTGTGTAGACATACCCTTGGCAGCAGAGCTGGTGGTGGAAGTTAGGATGGCAAAAGTGGCTTTAACTCATCTCTGCATTTCCCCAATTCTGGGACGGCTCTAAATTACACAGGCTACCCCAGCCCCAAGGAAGTCAGACCAACGCAGCGATTGCCGAGTGCAGGAGTCATCTGGCTGTGCCCACTTCCCCTGGGGAAGTTGCCCCTCATTGTGGGCTGGGAGAAGGGTGGTGCACAGGCAGCCGTGCCAGCACTAAGCCACCTAGAGATTCTCCTGCACTGGGGGAAATCCTCAGCAAGGGAGATCAGATGGGCTCTGGCTGCTGGAGCGGCACAAAGCAGGAGGAACGGGGCAGGGATCTAGCCCTTTAGCTCTCCTGACATGTAGGTGCTTTATATCATAACTTTAATGTTGCATTAACATTAGTTTTCAGCATTTAGTTCCCATGGTTTTTTAAGAGGAAAAATTGGGCATCCATATCAGAGACATGCTCCTTAACTGAGGGCTTATAGCAGTTTAGCCACAGCTGTGGAATATCTTGGATCTGAGCTAACGTGCGTTAGAGAAAAGCCAGTGTTCTAAACCTCTCTAAACTTGGCGTGGTCACAACTCAACGGACACAAATATGCATGAACGAAAATGTCCATGACTTAAAATTCTAAATGGATTGCCTTCAAACTTGAGTTGATTTTCCTTCCTTGAGGAAGGCTGTAAAACAAGCCAAGTTTGATGTTTCCAGCTTCAGAGAATTGCCAGAGCCAAATATAAGAACATAAGAATGGCCATACTGGGTCAGACCAAAGGTCCATCTAGCCCAGTATCCTGCCTTCCAACAGTGACCAATGCCAGGTGCCCCAGAGGGAATGAACAGAACAGGTGATCATCAAGTGATCCATCCCCTGTCGCCCATTCCCAGCTTCTGGCAAACAGAGGCTAGGGACACCCTCCCTGCCCATCCTGGCTAATAGCCATTGATGGACCTATCCTCCATGAACTTATCTAGTTTTTTTTTTTTAAACCCAGTTATAGTCTTGGCCTTCACAACATCCTCTGGCAAAGAGTTCCACAGGTTGACTGTGCACTGTGTGAAGAAATACTTCCTTTCGTTTGTTTTAAATATCAGAACACATGGCAGTCTACTATACTCACTCCCCAGCACCAAAGTTCATAGAACTCAAAAGCAGCAGAACTGATTTTACTCAGAATTAGCTTTTGGCTGGAAATGACTGGGAAAAATGTCGGCCCAAGAGGAATTTCTTGGCAAATGCCATCAGCCTCTGAAAAGGGGCTCTTCGACTGGAAACTAGGGCTCAGCCTTAACTAGAGGTTCTGTTGCTGGTCAGAGCTATAATAAGGGTTAATTCAGTGATGCTCACAGAGAAGCTGTACTAAAAGAAATGCCCTTTGCCCCAGGAAGACTCATGGAGATGAATAAAATGGCACAATGTGCTACAGGACCAGCCACTGACACACCATCCATGATCTATCATAGGCACTGGTGACTTTCTAATGGGTTCGGATGTCAGGGACTCAGCCACAGTGGCTGAAAGATGGTGCACAAGGGACGTGCTAATGGCCAATGATAATAAATGCAGCTGGGAGGTAGCAGATGCGGGGAGGGGACAGACAGGTGGTGCTGGAACAGGAATCACAAAGGAAATCTCAATTAAACAGCAGGGGGACACTATTGTGGGTTAAGAAGCAATGTGGGCTAGTAAATGGGACACTGGACTAGCAACCAGGAGACCTGGGTTCTGTTCCAGTCTCACCCACTGACTTGCGGTGTTACCTGGAGTATGGGGTCTTGTCTCTAAGCACATATATGTTCAGCACCGGGTCCTGATCTCAGCTGGGATCACTATGTGCTACTGTAATATAATTGTTCTTTTGGGATAGGGGGAAAATGATACTGTTCAAAGGAAGGGACTGATTCCACTGTCCAAAGGATCCACTCAGCAAATCTTGTGCTTCTCTCACATTTTGAGGCCCCGCTGCAAAGTCTGACTATAATCAAGGTCCACTGAGGCACCAACTCATGTCACTTATCACTTAATCAGCATTTGAACTCGGCTCTCCAGAGACATTATCTCAAGCCGACTCTGTAGCCAGCACACAGGGCTCAGTGCAAGTTCCCTGGAGAACAAACAGCTTGGAGATCCTCTCCTGTTTCTAAGAGCCCTACCTATGCATCAGCCACCTCCCCCGGCTGAAGAAAACACCAAGCACCAGAACATGTATTTGAAAATAGAAGTGGCTCCTTCGTTTACTGCAAGGCCAGAGAGGGAGAGCGCATCTGAACTCTCCATTTCAAGAGGGGAGTTTTACAAACGATGGTTCAAGTAGATCATGGTCCTTTCCCTCCGAGGGTCCTTCCTCCTCCAGCCTTCTTCTTTCCAACAGCTGTCAGGGTAACCGGGGTCAAATGAGAGAGGGTGTCAGCAGATGTGTATACAGGCCATCTTCTCACTGAAGCGATCATGTTAGCGTTCCTGCAAAAACAAGGACAGTGAGGAGGGGAATTATACTGGGGTGCCCCCTGCTGGTTAAATCTTAAAGGAAACTCAGCAAGTTGACATCTAGTCAATTTCAAAATAGGAATTAAAGAGTTCCAGGTATTAACTTCCCCCAGGACTCCCCAGCCAGTGCATGTGGTTTCACAACTAGTACCCTCATTTTAAAGAAAAAAATCCTCTCCCTTCTTGCTGTGTGTAATATATGCAGGAAGTAACAGGCTGTATGAAAAGCACGGTGTCAGATGTAAAGCAAACTACCTGAAAATAGAGGAAAACATTTAGGGTCCTCTAATCCTCCAGCTACACTTATCTAAGAGGTTCGTTGTAACCAGGGTAGACAAAGGATTTTCTAAGAGTGATTTTCAAGGAGCCGGTGCCCATTTAAACAGCAACAAATATAATGTACGTGATCCAAGTCCACTCTCTACCCAGTGCTTTCAATTGTCAGAGTGCTATACCAAAGATAAGGGCCAGATTTTCAGAGGCAAAAGGCATGTGCAGCTCCCATTGACTGCAGTGGGATGGGTCAGTGCTCAGCAATCCTGAAAATTTAACCGTAAGCAAAGAGTCCTCCAGGGTGGATTGATTTAAATCACCAACTGGAAAGCCTCAATTTAAATAATCACGTTTGATCAACTTTTCCATTTGTCCTTCAGGTGCATTCTCATTGGTTGATATAACCACTAATACATGTTGATTTACAACTAAACAGAGCCTTTACAATAGATTTGGTCCATCTTTTTGTTACCTAGGAGGGTATGCTATAATTATGTACATTTATTTAAGCAATTATATAAGTAAATATTTTCCAATTCTTATTAGTTGTACATTTAGTATGTTAGAAAATAGTGGCTGGGCGGAGTCATAAATATTAAGAATTTGAAGACTTAGCCAATCAGAGCTCAGGTAGGGAGAAGCTATAAAATAACAGTGTGAGAGGGGGACTGAGTCATAGAATCATAGAATATCAGGGTTGGAAGGGACCTCAGGAGGTCATCTAGTCCAACCCCCTGCTCAAAGCAGGACCAATTCCCAACTAAATCATCCCAGCCAGGGCTTTGTTCCCCTGTCACATCTCACATGCTGGCATGGAGAAGGGTGTTTCTCAGAATGAGGGGCCATGTCCCTTCTGCCCTAGTATTAGACATCAGGAGGAGGAGAGAGCCCCTCTCAGCCTCATCTCTCCCCCTGCACACACACAGTTTGGTCATCTCGGGGTGAGAAAGGGAAGGAGCCACTCTCTGCTCCCCTGACACCCTGCTGGAGCAGAATCCAGGGACACGCAACCCCCCGCAAGCTTGCCCTTTGAACGATCACACGTGGCTGCTGAAGAAGCAAACGGTGATGCGACCACAGTGGGGCAACTGGTAGTGCCAAGCTCACATTTGCAAGCTGGCGGAGGGAAGCCGACAGGTTTCCAAATGTAAAGTCTGTGCAAGGTTCCCCCAGGAAACAGCAACCGCTCTTTAACTTCCCTCAGCCCGGCCCTACACGCGCACTGCTGCGGGCGTGTCCACTCAGCATTCAGAGGGGTCAGTCTATAGGCTTCTGGCTGTGCTGGCTAGGAATGCTTCCTCCTCAGATAGAGATCCCATCCCGGATGGGGCCAGGGGCTGGTGCCTTTGGCTCAGGGGAGTTCTTAGTGCCGCTGCCCTGTGGCAAGGAGGGCAGGGGAGTGGGATGTTACGGTGGTTTTTGCTCCCGTGCCACAACTGAGCACAGGCCACACCTTCCAATCTCGACACTGGCAGTGACTCCCCAAGACCCACCTTGTTGGCATCACAGCTCAGCCTGCTGCCCAGCTCTTCACCCTGGAACGTGCCCAAACCCTGCTGCCATTGCACTGTGGGGGCTGCCCTGACCCAGCATCACTTCCTGTGGGACCTTGGGCAGAGCGGGTGAGCTCAGGGTTTCTCCTCAGCGTCTTGCATCCACGAGCTGTGTAAGGAGAGCCCTTTGGCAGCAGACTGACCTTCTTTGGGGTGTGGAGAAAGCCTGACCCTCAGACCCATCGGCTCAGGGGTTATTTCTCCCCCAGGTAGGAGGCACTCTTCCCGGTTTTCTTCAGCGTGGCCAGCAAGGTGTCGACGCTGTGCTCCGAATTGATGCACACCTTCTTGTTGGGCAGGTCGATCTCAAACTGGACACCTGGGGGAGGTGAAAGGATACCCCGCGTGTGAGAAGAACCGTGCAGCCTCCAACCAGAGGACCCGCCATGGCCACCGCCCCCTGACTCTGCCCCCTCCCTCATGGATGGGTTAGAGCTGATGCACTGAGTATCCCATTAAGAACCAGGTGAGCAGTCTGAAAACATAAACAAGACTTGGGTAGTGTGTGCCCATCCTTGCTCTGATGCAAACTCAGACATCACCCAACCACTGCTCCTGCTCGGACATCTCAGTCCTGCCCCACAGGTACAGCCCCCAGCCATGCAGCTTCTCATGCTGCTAACTCAGCCTTTTGACTTCACTGCAACATCAGGAGAGGGCACAAATACCCCTCTACTGCATTTCTTCAGCACCTTTCCTCCACAGGTCTCAGAGTGCTTTGTGGGGCTCCTTCTCTGCCCATGCCTCCAACCACCAGAAGTCCTCGCCCCCTTGGTTTAAAGGGACAATCCTTAAACGTGCGACTGGTGAGGAAAGTGCTGAGAAGCGGGCGAAGGGTGCAGGGATGCAGGATTGAGCTGAGAGACAGGAATTTCGTTTCCAGCGGCCCCCCAGAGCAAAGTCCCTCTCTGTCTGCTGGGGTCTGAAAACAGATGCTCAAGGCACACTGTTAACTAGAAAAACTACCTCCAGGATACATGGAGTACATCACACAGAGCGGGCAGTCAAAGGATATTCTGGTGACACAGGTTTTGTGCGCCTCCAGCTGGCACGTCAGCATATTACCACCACCAGGCAAAAACATTGCAGTGACCTATCCGCTCCAGAGCTCGCCTGCCGCCTCCCGCCTGGCCCTTCCCTTCCAAGGGAAGCACTGTCCGTGGCTCCAACGAGAGGCTAAGTAGCAGGCCTGGACTGATCTAGTTCTAGCACTGCCATCCTGCTCGGAAATGGCATTTCCCTGGTCTCTTCCTGAGGCAGCAGGGCCACACAGGGTGAGGGAGGGAGAGGCATCCATGAGAAACCAGAACTGGCATGAGCCACCGGCGCTGGGTGCATTCGCATTCATTCAGAGCGCTCTGAGGTTTCTTTGCCCTGTCAGTTATTGTTCCACCTGCCATGTTGCTAGGGAGCGGCCATCTGGCTATCCGGGAACTCCAGCGCGGCTCTCTTGGTAAATACAGCTCAGCAGACATCAGCGTCAATATTTGATTTTATTTTTGAAGTCTGTACTAAATAAAAGTTCAGCTCCAGCAGGCCCACTGGCGTGCCGGGCGTTTCCCTGGTGGTCTTAGCTCGTCAGCTGAAGCTTGGGCTGGCCCACTCTCAACCAAGCTGAACAAAGCTGGGCTTTCCATGAGGAGTCGCTCCTCTACTGCGTGGGGAAGGCAGCTGCCAACTTACCCACCCCAGGCTGACTCCACTCCTTTGTAATACAGATGGGGCATGGGGTTTATCGTTTGGAAGAGCTGGTAAAAGCACCTGGATGGAAAAGCGCAGGCTGCTTGATCAGTGGCTGGGAAGGTCAACCTGTTTCTCCATAGCCACGGCAGTGATTGACTCCCTGTGCTTGGCAGGGCCGCTGTTCTGACGCTGGCAATATCCCTCAGGGGAATCACGACAGCCATCCCTACAGCAGCAGTGCAGAGGAAGGAGTATGCTAGATGCACCAGGGGCATCAGGCCCCTGCTCCTTCTGCTCTCGGGGCCTGGTCCAAAGCCCAGCGGAGTCCGTGGAAAGACAGGGATGTCAGTGGGTTTGGGAGGAGGCACTGAAAGGAGAATAGAAACGGCTGCAGTCTGGTGACTGCAACTTCCTGTAGTCACAAGAGAGCTCCGAGCAACTTCCCTCCCCCCACCTCATCAAAGGTCACAGATTCCAATTAGACATCTTGCCACTGCAGATCAATAATTCGTTACTGACTAATCAGCTGCAGCAGCGGCTCCCACAGGAACAGGGTGGGTGGCTGGCTTTCAAGGAGCGGCTTGACTCCCAGCTCATCTGCAGGGGGAGGGCAAGACCGAGTTTGGAACAGGCAACCCTCCAGCCCCCAATCGCTCCTCTGTGAGCGTGGTTGGGCAACACCATGCTAAGCCGGCCAAAGTCCTTTCTGCTTCCCTCTGCCAGGAGTCTTTCCCCAGGCCTGGGCAGGCAAGTGCCCCGAGAATGGGCTTGAGAGGCCCCATCAGACTACAAAGGAAGAAGGGTCTGGCTGTGAAATAGCCAGAAGGGGTGGGGCAGGGTGGATTTTAAAAAGGAACGGGCAGTTCGTGTTTTAAATGTCACCCGCATCTTTGCCAAGGCTGCCCAGAGAGGAGCTGCACAACCCCCCTGCAGGGGCTCTGCCCCTCGCTGTCTCTCACAGGTACCGCATTAATGCCACTGCTTCACACCCCTTCTCCTGGCTGCCCGGAAATGCTGCTTTGCCCAGGCAAGTTTCTCTCAGGAGAAGATCACCTGGCAGACTCTTGTCTGTTGCCAGGAATGCAACCGGTCAGTGACAGAAGGGCCCCAACTGGGCCAGAGGTGCCAGCCTGAAGGTGTTCAGGTAGCAGCAAGAGTAGCCTGAATATTCCCTGGAACCAGTCCTGAAATGGTGCCACATGGCGAAGAGCAAACCGAATGCTAGGAACAAAAGCGGGAGCCGGTTTTGCAGAGAGGGGAGCAGGTGAAGGCTGTAAGTGAGGACCCAGTTCTTTAGGGAAATCATTTATAACATACAGGGTGAAATCCTGGCTCTATTCAAGTCAATGGCAAAACTCCCCTGGGGTTCAGCAGGGCCAGGATTTCATGGCTCTTCATCCAGGTCAGACAATCCACACTTTGCCTTGGCAGAGGCTTATGCTGGCTATGCCACCTGCCAACAGAGCAGCTCCCTGTTTGTGGAGGGCGTTGTCTGGCATGCCAGAGCCTCCCACGCAAATGCCACGGCTGGTCAGTCCAAAGCAATACTCCTCTCCTGGGGGGGTTGCACGGTCTCTTACCAAAGGAGGAGTCAGAATAACGAGGCCTTCCCTCACCCGTGGGGATTGAGAACTACCCCCAGCGATGGGTGACTTTGCCAGGACACATAGCTTGAGGCGGGGGCCCGTAGGAGTGGGGCCCTTGGACTACAGTTTCCATTTCACTGCCATAGGAGCCGTTGGTCCCTTAAGGCTAGTATGGAAACTCCCACATCCGTGAAAGCTGTTTGCTGATCCCTGTGCAATTCTACACCTGGCTCAGAGCAGTGCCACTCACCTCCCAGCTTGTTGAGAACGCGGGTGACCGCATTGGAGCACCCTTCGCAGGTCATGTCAACAGAAAACTCATGCTTCTGAAATAAGGAAGAGAACGGATTGGAGACAACCAGGAGCCCTTCTTGCTTTGTCAGCAATTATCCCAATACACTGACCCAGGCCCTCTGGAGACCTGGATTTGAAACCCTCATGATGTCGCATACAAAATATGCTCTCACCCCAAACCTACCAGACACTGATCGTAATCCAAACGCTGCAAACGTCCTCTAGCATAAAACCAAGCTTTCTGCAAACTCCAGCTTATCTAGTTACTTTATCTCATTGTTTCCTTGTGCTCCACAACCTGTCTGTATTCACCTACTGTGTTGTCTTAGACTCTTAGCTCTCTGAGGCAGGGGCTTTCTTTTTCTTACTCTGGCCTAGTGTAATAGGATCCTTATCCCTAACTGGGGCTCCTAGACACGCCACTGCAATACAAACAATACTACGGTACTTTTAAAACATGATTAAAGGGACATGACTGGCACATTGTTAGAAAAAATCACATATTTTTAATTATGATCCTAGCTGCTACTAAAAGAAACTATCAGTAACATAAAATATATTTACCTGTGTTATTAATTAACATATTCAGTTATTACAACCAAAAGAATCCTAAATTTCTTTTTTCGCACTAACGCTGTATGTTCACTATTCAGATAAAAAAAACCAATCAGCTTCATTTTACTGCGGCTTCAAGGCCATGGGCTTGTTGATCCTAAAAAATTAGGTTGACCGAGTTACATCATTTAGGGGTGTGAAAAATCCACACACCCCTGAGCAATATAGTTATGCTGATCTACGTTCCTGTGTAGACAGCACTAGGTCAACAGAAGATTTCCGCCAACCTAGCTTCTGCCTCCCGGAGAGGTGGATTAGCTAAGCTGACAGCGAACCCCTCCTGTCAGCATAGGTCGTGTCTACACTGAAGTGTTGCAGCTGTGTTGCTGTAGCGTTTTAAGTACAGACAAGCCCGTAGCCAGTTTATGTCTCACTCCCACTGTGTCTGAGTTCCCAGGGCTCCAAGGGAAAGTTTTCATCCAGAAAGACAACAACAATTTTGGTTCTCATTGACATTTTAAAAATTCATTAAGGTTAGTCTGATTTTGGGAGAATTTTCCCAAATGAAAAACTCTGGAAAATCCCCAACCCTCCCCGCCCCAGAATTAGTGGATAAGGCCCCACCCCTTCTGTTAAACTGGGTGCAAACAACTGGATGGCCGCAAGAGGTATAAATAAGGGGCGTGATGGACCAAGCCCTCCATTGGGCCAGGCGCTGCACAAACACAGCCCCTGCCCCGAGGAACTTACAGTCTAAGTGCAAGACAAACAGAGAACACATGCTACAGACAGAGCGGGGAGCAGAAGGACCCGTTGAGAACACTGCTCAGCGCGATGACAAGCAGTGGTCTCAATACACCAGCAGCCTGGCCGTCAAGCCTTTTGTAGCCTCTACAGCAAAAGAGAATTTTAAGGGTTGATCTGGAGGAGGAGAACGAGCTAGTTTTGCGGATGTTTGGCTTATCCCAGGCGTGAGGGTCAGGATTCCCCCACCCAAAGTCAGAAAACCAGGTGCCATTAACCTGCGCTGATGACTCTCCCCCATAGGCCCCCTAGCCCCAGCAGGCCCGAGCGTGCCCCACTGTAGCTACTAGTAACAAGTGATCTGGCTTTCAGGCAAAAGCCCGGCCTACAACGAAGCGGTTCTCCCTGGTCCCTGCTGGGCGCAGCATTCACTGGCGTGAGCTCAGAGAGGGGCTGAACCCGAACCGCTGACCCAGGGCCCCCCACCCAGGTTTGGGGGACGCCTGGATCCGCCTCTGAACCTTATATCCGGACCAACCCCCCCACCCCCGCTCTCTAGCGGGCCGAATTCGGCAGGCTTCGGGCGAATTCGGATCAGGCCCCTCCCCACCCAGCGGGGCTCAAGGCAGGAAAGGGCCCGATTCGCAGAGGCGTGAGCCCGAGTCGGGCGAGGGGCTGCTCGCCCCGCCGGGGTCCGTGCCCCAGCAGCCCCGAGCCAGCCAGCGGCTGGCAGCCCGGGCCAGGCGCAGCGAGCGCGGCCGCAGCACCCACCGGCATGGCAGCGGCGCAGGGCGGCCGGTGCCGCTGCTCCTCTCCCGGCTCCGCGCGGACTGAGGCGCAGGGCGCCGGTACGTGCCCTGCCCAGCCCAGCCCAGCGCCGCCTCCGCCTCCTCCTGCCGGGGGCAGGCTGCTCGCCCAGCCCCTGCGCGCCCCGCTCCGTGCCGCAGGAGGGCGCGGTGCTCGGCCGGCTCCCTGCGCGGGGCGCGCTGCCTGCTGCGGGCGGAGGCGCGTCCCAGACCCGCTCCTGCAGCCGGCCCCAGCCCTGCCTGGCTTCTCCGCCGCCCCGCTCTGCCGGGAGAGGGTTTGCCTCCCCTCCACGCCCCCCGCCTTGTAGGATGAATATAATCCCCCGTGGCGCTTTCTCCAGTCCCCCCCCGTAACCCCACAGGCAGGCTGAGCCCCCTGCACAGGAGCCCAGTGACACTCAGCCATCCCTACTTAGCCCCAGACTTGTAGGGGGTGTCTCAGGAGCATCCCCTCCTCCCCCAGCATTTTAGGCTGTGGGCACCGGGGCAGGGAAAGGTGAGAGCTCCTGCCTTCTTGGCTGCCGGCCTGGGGATTGAACTGGGGAACCTCCAGAGCTGAAAGCATGGGCTGGTAGAGCTCCAGAGCCACCCTACGGGGGGGCTATAACAGACCCATAGCTTCCGGGGCTGAGCACAGAAGGGGGACTTGTAACACAGAGGAAGAATAGATGGGTCCTGCCCAGGCAGGCCATAAAGAAAATGGAGAGCCCCTGAGCTTTGGAGCCCTGCAGTTGTCCAGATTCACTTAAAGGGAGATGCTGTTATTCATTTATGTTTAAGTGATTGTTACTTTTTGGTTTGGGACAGCTGAGAGTCTTGGGGAAGGCCCTTTACAGGCATGTCACTGTGTTCCCATCACCCTAAGGGGGCCCAGTAATTGCTAATGTGCATCCATGCAAAGCATGGACTTGCCAGGAGTACTGGGTGCAAGCCTCACAGGCCAGACTCTGCCAAGCCAAGTTGCGGTGACTTCTGTGTATCTATCCCACAGTCCCTGTTCCTCCGCAGCTCCAGAAGCAGTGGATTCTGGGAGACTTTGCAATGCCACCACGACACCAGAGGGCAGAAGCCAGAAACCCTACATGGAGGTTAACTGAACAGGGAGGACAAATCAAAAAGTGCAGGGCAAGGACGGAGATCAGAAGTTATTTGCTCCTGAGAGAGAAAAGATAATTGTGGGAGGACTGGAGTTCTGGGATCAAATTGGTTTAGAGTGAGCTGCCCTGCATTTAGGCCTGCTGAAAGCAAATGTAATCCAAGCTATATTTGGCATGACGCATGTGCACTATTTGGAGCACTTTTGTGGAGGACCCAATGTTTCCTTAGTGTGTCCTAAGGGTATGTCTACACTATACCTAAGGTTAGGGGGGAACCCTGGTAAATTTCTTTAGTGTAAATGAGACCCAAATGTCACCCCACCCACTTCCATTTCTCCTCCCTTTTCTACAGAGCTGTGACTGGGACAGTAAATCAGGGTTTGGACAATTTAGGATGAAGGGTGAATTTTTTTTTTAAATAATGAAAGAGTTTTCACTCCTAATTAGGAAATGGATTAAAGCTGATGTCAACTGTGCCGATACTGAGAATCTGATTGGGTTTGGGGAAAGGAGATTTTCTCCCAGCTGGACAAACTGCTCCATAAGAATTTGTATGTGAGAGAGCAATAGAAATACCTGCTGCAGATTTAAAAGGGGGTTGTGGATATGGGCGGGAGTGTAAAAGAAAGAAGTTGGTGAAACAATTGGGAAAGTTGTGAATCAATGGTGGATACTTAACAGCTGTTGGGGAATTCCACCATCCTTAGCACAGAGCCACATGCACCCTGGAGCGATAGTCCTCAGCACTGGAATAAAAAGGGTGCTGGTGGCTGGGGGAAGGTCCCACTGGTGGGGAGATAACAGTGAGGATTAGATGCCTAATAGGCTGGAGGGAGCTGGCTTGGCTTGGGTGCATCAGGAAACCACCCTTCAGCCTATGAGTTGTAAGATGTTATTGAAGTGTATAGGAGCAGGAGAACCCTCCAGCATGGGGTAGAGCATTGAGTGAAAGCCTAATAGATGCTCTGGTTTTTCTGCTCTAGAATAGGTCAGGTGAAATGACAGATAAAAATCCACCTGGGAACACTATCTCCTAGCCCCTCTGGAATTGCAAGTATCTCCCAAGCGCTGGCTAGTGAGGTGGTGATTCCTGGTTTTGGCCCCCATCCCAAAGCACTGCACTAAACTAATCTTTGGAAGAAATGGAGTGGAAGAAATCTGCTTTGTAAATCTGAGAGTAGGGTGTGATGTAAAGGAGGTGCTGCACGGTGGGACTCCGAGGCATGGGCAGTGGTGTAGATAATCGATGTAGAAAGTGTGACAGATCAGGATTGAGATGCATTGGTAGAGCTGCCTGAGGAGCCCAGGACTGGAATAGAAAGGGATGCGGCAGGTCGGATTAGAAGAAATGTCTGAGTCGTGCATGGGGAGCTGAGGACTGGAATAGCAGGCCTGCTGCAGGTCAGGAATGAAGTGCGCTGGCAGAGTTGTGTGGGACAAGACAGGAAGTGCACTGTGTAGGAGGGAGTTACAGACAGCAACTGACCACTGTATGCCTGGCAAGAGCACCAAGCTTCAGTTGGATAAATAATCTGAATGGGGAGCATCTCCTGCAGGCCCTTGGCCAGAGCAAGCTAAATTGCTTCTTAAAGCAGTCATTCTTTGAATCAAGCTTAACAGCAGGTTCCAGTTGCGAGTCATGACGTTCACTCTCCCTGAATTAGCTGGACATGGGCCCGCATCAAGGGAGGCAGGGTGGAAGATGATACCAGCCTTGAGGCCCAGTAGCACAGGGGTCAGGGTGGATCCATTTCACTGCACATGAAAATGTCATCTTGTTTCACTGCTGTAAAAGTAGGTGCTGATGTGATCGTTTTTATAAGAAGAGCGGTTATCTGAGAGACCACGCTGCTGCACTGTGCCTTGTGCCTCTCTCAATCTGTATCACAAGTGTCCCAACTGTGGGGCTGGGAGAGGGGTTATTTTACACGGCTGTCCGTCCCTTGGCTTGTATTAAACTCTGGAAGGGCCTTGCTACTGATTTATGAGCTGGCAGCTTGCAATGTGGTTCAGGATATAAATAGCAAAAAGAAAAAAAAGGGAGGGGGGATATTAATGTTGGGGATGGCATAATGCCAGCTGTAAATCTCTGTACAAGAGAAGGGGGGAGGAGGTTTACACAATGGCTTCTTAAAAGACTGCCCGCTAGGGGAACAAGAGGCATTAAGTCCCTGCTATAGGGTCAGACGTTACCCTCGCTTCCACACCACCACTGATTTAGCTGGGTTTGCACAAGATGCAGGTGAAGGGAAATTTTGGCCCTTTGGAAGAAGAGTCAATTTGGTCCAAGCAATTGTCCGCCTCCTGGCCACCACCTCCACACAGACTTGCTGAGATACAGCAAAAACAAACACATGCTTTAGGAAACTGACCTCAAGCACTGACGGCTTTTACTTTGTTAAAGCGGGGATGTAGTATGAAAGCTGCTGTTACCTTATGGGGCTCTTTAACCCTTTTAGGTGACTAAAGGCAATGTGACTTGGATTTTATGTGATGGATCAGTACCTGGGCATCTCTTTCCACTTGGAGAGTGATATCTTTAGTGTAGAGAGGTGAAAAGGCAGTGCAAAAAAATGAACCCCAGGCTCATTTTGGTGACTTGTTTCTTATCAAAACTCTAAGAGCAAGTTTTAGGTGGATGGATTTCTCTGTTTATTTTGGTAAGAGACTGTGAAAGAAGAATGCTAATGTACAAACAGGTGAACTAGGCTATTTGTCTTCTCTTCCAGGTGCTCCTGCACTCAACTCCGTTTGAGGTGGGCACAGATCTCCAGTCTGTGCTTTTCTCGCTGTGCATAGCGGGTGATCTTTACTGATCTGATATCCAAGTGGACTTGTCACTTGGGACGTTTGCTGGGAAATTCCCAGGATGGAGTTTTGTGTGTAATTGGAATGGATTTGATTATATTCCTATGCTGAAAATTCTTAAGAGCAGGTCCTTCACTTTCCCAATGGGTTAAGGGAGCAGTGAAGATCATGCACTCCTGCCTCACAAGCTGGCAGGGCTGTAAACTCAGGGAGCCCTGGGTCAGAACCATTTAGAGGATGCAGTATCATCCCCAAGGCTTCAGTAATGATGGCACTGCTGAACCTTGATACTGCATTACACATTGTGGCAGCCCCAGGGAAATAAATGGGAATGGAGACGGTTTAGTGCTTTGCACAAAGTGGAGCAGCATCAGGAGTCTTCCAGGGAGACTGGAATGGTGGGGAAAAGCACTGAGATACCATGATGATCAGTGCAGCACACATGCCTAGATGAAGACAGGTGGCCACACTGGTGTGGGCCACACTGTGGAATGGAGACCAGGCAAGGCCTGGGCCCAGCGGGAGGCTGGCCGTGCAGGGTTCCGGAGGCTGAGGTAGGCAGGTTCAGCGGGTGACTGGGCCGTGCTGGATTTGGAGGCTGAGCAAGGCCGGGGCCCAGCGGGTGACTGGGCCACGTAGGGGTCCGGAGGCTGGATGCAACGGGTTTGGTGGGTGACTGGGCCGTGCAGGGGGCCGGCCGCAGCGGGTTCGGCGGGTGACTGGGCTGTGCTGGGTTCTAGGAGGATCCCTGGCTCTGTAGAGGCCCCCATGGAGCCAAGGGGGCAGGAGCCAGAGGAACTGGGGTCGGGAGGAGCAGGCTCTGGCTCTGGATTCACCAAGGGCAAGTCATGCCTGACTAATCTAATTGCCTTCTATGACGAGATAACTGGCTCTGTGGATGAGGGGAAAGCGGTGGATGTGTTGTTCCTTGACTTTAGCAAAGCTTTTGACACGGTCTCCCACAGTATTCTTGCCAGCAAGTTAAAGAAGTATGGGCTGGATGAATGGACTATAAGGTGGATAGAAAGTTGGCTAGATTGTCGGGCTCAACGGGTAGTGATCAATGGCTCCATGTCTAGTTGGCAGCTGGTATCAAGTGGAGTGCTCCAAGGGTTGGTCCTTGGGCCGGTTTTGTTCCATATCTTCATAAATGATCTGGAGGATGGTGTGGATTGCACCCTCAGCAAGTTTGCAGATGACACTAAACTGAGAGGAGAGGTAGATACGCTGGAGGGTAGGGATAGGATACAGAAGGACCTAGACAAATTGGAGGATTGGGCCAAAAGAAATCCGATGAGGTTCAACAAGGACAAGTGCAGAGTCCTGCACTTAGGACGGAAGAATCCCATGCTACAGACTAGGGACCGAATGGCTAGGCAGCAGTTCTGCAGAAAAGGACCCAGGGGTTACAGTGGACAAGAAGCTGGATATGAGTCAACAGTGTGCCCTTGTTGCCAAATGCCTTGAGGCATTTTGGGCTGTATAAGTAGGGGCATAGCCAGCAGATGGAGGGATGTGATCGTTCCCCTCTATTCGACATTGGTGAGGCCTCATCTGGAGTACTGTGTCCAGTTTTGGGCCCCGCACTACAAGAAGGATGTGGAAAAATTGGAGAGAGTCCAGCAAAGGGCAACAAAAATGATTAGGGGTCTGGAACACATGAGTTATGAGGAGAGGCTGAGGGAACTGGGATTGTTTAGTCTGCAGAAGAGAAGAGTGAAGGGGGATTTGATAGCTGCTTTCAACTACCTGAAAGGGGGTCCCAAAGAGGATGGATCTAGACTGTTCTCAGTGGTGGCAGGTGACAGAACGAGGAGTAATGGTCTCAAGTTGCAGAGGGGGAGGTTTAGGTTGGATATTAGGAAAAACTTTTTCACTAGGAGGGTGAATGCGTTACCTAGGGAGGTGGTGGAATCTCCTTCCTTAGAGGTTTTTAAGGTCAGGCTTGACAAAGCCCTGGCTGGGATGATTTAATTGGGGATTGGTCCTGCTTTGAGCAGGGAGTTGGACTAGATGACCTCCTGAGGTCCCTTCCAACCCTGATAGTCTATGATTCTATGGGCTGCAGCCGGGGCCCAGGAGGCTGGGCGGGGGCCTGGGCCTGGTGCTGCAGGCCGGGAGAGCCGTGGCGGGCTCAGTGGGCTTGCAGCAGCCAGGGACAAGATGGGAAGCAGGCGGCCCTTGCCTCCAGCAGGGGGGGCGCTGTCTACCCGGCTGGGGAAGGGCAGCCCCTTTGTTAGTGGTGCGTTTCCCTTTAAGTGGCTCTAATCTCCGGCCTGTCAGTCACGCCCAGCTATGCTCCCTAATTGGTTATCGCGCTCACTGCCGGAGTGAGTGCCGCCCCGACCGAAAACGGGGTTTACCTTGCTAGATTTCAAGGGCGCCGCTGGACGACGCAACCACACTACTAAGACTTAGTCCCCACCTCCTCCAACTCTCATCTAATAGCGAGAGGTGCGTCGCCTCATTGGCCAGCGGGGGAGTCAGTTGAGCTTTGTCCCACCTCTGTGGCTGAAACGACAACGTCTGTTGGCTGGTACTTACGTCGCTCACTTTAACGTCCGCCTGCCTCAAGGCAGTGGGATAGGGTGGGTTGGCTGCCACTCCACAAGCACCGCCCCTTTTTCGCAGCCCTGGCCAAACGGCGCCCGAGTAGGGAAGGGCGGCGCTCAGCGATTGGCTGGCGGGTTGCGGCGGGGTTAGGCTGCGCGCCGGATATATGTAGCCGGCGGGTGAGCACGCCGTTGCGTGAGGTCTTTCTATTTCCTGGCCGGCCTGCCTCCTGCTCCAGTCCCGCTCCGTCCGCAGGTAACGCGGGACGGGGCCGGCCGCGGCCTCGGCCTCCCCTTCGGGCTGCCGGGAGCGGGGCGGCTTCGAACGGCGTCACGTTCCTCCCGGGACGGTTGCGCCGCCTCCCAGCGTCACAGACGCGCGGGCCGGGCTCGCCCGGGCCAGGCTGAGCCGTGGGGCTCGGGGCCTCTCGGCTGGGCGGGCAACAAATGGGGAGGGGAAGCTGCTGTTCTCTCCCCCCAGGCCTGGCAAGGTGCCCCCGTGGGGGAGCTGTAAGTCGCGGGGGGGCGGGGGTGTGTCTGTGGGAAGGGGGGGCGGCTCGGGGCTGCAAGTCGCGGGGGGGGTCGGGGTGTGTGTCTGTGGCAACGGGGGGGTGGCGGCTCGGGGCTGTAAGTCACCGGGAAGGAGGGGCCGGGGGGTGGCGGCTCGGGGCTGTAAGTCACCGGGAAGGAGGGGCCGGGGGGGTGGCGGCTCGGGGCTGTAAGTCACCGGGAAGGAGGGGCCGGGGGATGGCGGCTCGGGGCTGTAAGTCACCGGGAAGGAGGGGCCGGGGGGTGGCGGCTCGGGGCTGTAAGTCACCGGGAAGGAGGGGCCGGGGGTGGCGGCTCGGGGGCGGGGGGGGGGGGCGGGGGGTGGCGGCTCGGGGCTGTAAGTCACCGGGAAGGAGGGGCCGGGGGGTGGCGGCTCGGGGCTGTAAGTCACCGGGAAGGGGGGCCCGGGGGGTGGCGGCTCGGGGCTGTAAGTCACCGGGAAGGGGGGCCCGGGGGGGTGGCGGCTCGGGGCTGTAAGTCACCGGGAAGGGGGGCCCGGGGGGGTGGCGGCTCGGGGCTGTAAGTCACCGGGAAGGGGGGGCCGGGGGGGTGGCGGCTCGGGGCTGTAAGTCACCGGGAAGGGGGGCCCGGGGGGGTGGCGGCTCGGGGCTGTAAGTCACCGGGAAGGAGGGGCCGGGGGGGTGGCGGCTCTGGGCTGTAAGTCACCGGGAAGGAGGGCCCCGGGGGGGTGGCGGCTCGGGGCTGTAAGTCACCGGGAAGGAGGGGCCCGGGGGGGTGGCGGCTCGGGGCTGTAAGTCACCGGGAAGGGGGGCCCGGGGGGGTGGCGGCTCGGGGCTGTAAGTCACTGGCGGGGGGACGGTGGGGTGGCCCGGGGCTCCCGCAGGTTCCTGACCCGCAAGGCTCAGCGGGCCCCATGCACACGCGTTAGAGACGGGGGCTGCCTGTGCTGGACGTGGGGATAGCAAACCTCGAGCAGTTTGGGCTAGAACAGCGAAACCGTTTTACGAAACGGTTCCTCTGATTTGAAAGCCCTTGTATGTTTGGTATCCGGGATGTGAGGAAGAACCTTCCTCTAGCCCCACGGAAAGGAGTGACGCTATAGAAATAAGTGAACGTTGTTGGGATCGTGGAGGATAGTGTTCTCTCTGAAGGCAAACATTTAAAGGGAGGGGGGGCAGTTCAGAGGAGGGATACAAACGGGAGAGAAGGAAATTTCATTGTGTGAGGCTAGATACAAAGCTGCAAGCTTTGTTCTGTACTTTACATTGCCTGTGTGTTCCATCAACTATGTAAAATGCCCCCATGTAGTAGCTAGGCTGCAGAGTTTCTTCCTGGGTTAAGGTGGCATGGAAAAATATCCACCTGAGACGATAATGCTTAGCATTTATGTAGCCTTAGTCACCTGTAAATCTCTGCATTGTACAAAAGAGGGTAAGTTTCACCCCTCTTTTGCAGATGGGGTAACATTCTCCTCTCTGTGGCATTAAATGATTTATCCAAGGTCACGCAGCAAGACAATGGTGGAGCTGGGATTAAATGCAGAACTGTGTATAGAACAGTGTGTCTGAAGAGCTCCCAGTCACTTGCGAGGCCCCAGACCTACTTGATTGTGAAAGCCCTACCTGTATTACTGTTCATCGCTTTGGATGCCTTCCATAGAGTTAGTTTGCAAGATTGTACTTGGAATTATTGGTACATGGATGTTATCTGTGTGGTGAGACATCCGCATTAAGCATTGTGTCTGTAATGACAGGTTTCAGAGAAGCAGATGTGTTAGTCTGTATCCGATGACGTGAGCTGTAGCTCATGAAAGCTTATGCTCAAATAAATTTGTTAGTCTCTAAGGTGCCACAAGTACTCCTTTTCTTTTTGTGTCTATAATGTATTCCATGTGAAGGAAGTGGCATCTTCCTATTTAGATGTGAGGAGTGTTTGCACCAAACAGCTATGTTTCCAGTCTGCTATTTTTGTCAGGCCTATCCTTTCACAAACTAATGACAGCTTTAGGAAATGTAGAGAGGCAATCAAGTCCTGAACAGTAACCTCCAGTTGGTATAAATAAAATCATTTGGAGTGTATGTTAGGCCATTATGCGCATCTTATCAACCATGTTTCAGCTACTGAGGCTTACTTTCTTCTCTAGAAAATAGCATCTTCTATTCGCTAAATCAGTCACTTTCACTTATTCATGGGCAAAAGAGGTTAAGAAAACATGCCAGGTTCTCAAATAGGATTTCAGGGAAGATGAGAGTAGACTACAACATATTTGCTGACTGACTAGGATTCTCAGATGTTTATGGCAGTGTTATTGGCTGTGGTAGAATGTTCACACTCTTCACATCTTTCCAAAGATACTATGCATTTCTCTGCTGACCTGAAGTAAAATCGAGTCATGACTTGCAGCAAAATGTCTAAAGTGCAGCTGCTTGTTCTACCCAGTTACACCTGAATGTCATATTAAACTGCAAGTTTACTTTAAGTATTTGGATAACTAAAGAGTTCCCTGAAACAGAGTAATACTATTGTGTGAAGGAGAAATTCATACATTTATGTTCCCAGGTATCAGAAGTGTGATTTAAACGTTAAAATGTGTCCCTCAGATTAATATGCCCTAAGAGCAATTTCTAAATATCTTATATAAGCATGCAAAATATACCTGTTTACTTATTTTCTTGTGTTAGAAGTTAGTTGTTAGAAAGCAGGAGTACATTTCAAGTTTCTTTTGATTAAATCGGTTATCATAAGGTCTTGGCTTAGTAGGAAGATGGGGAAACCTTCAGTGTCTGATTTGGTGAATTTACATTAATACTTAATGTAACCAACTTGAAAGCTAGAAGATGGAAGCAAGGAAAGGAAAAATACTTGCCACATGTGTTCCTGACATTCCCAAACTCCCTGGCAAAACGTGAATCTTTTGTAGGAGCCCTAATATGGAATGACATAGCAAAGAATCCTTTGTATGTACCCTTTCATGGTCCTGGGCAGCCACAAAAGCAGCAAAACTAATAAAGGTACAAACATAGTGTCTTGTCTTATGTCTGTTAGTGACAAGAGGACACTTTTTTTGTATAATAGTTCACTAGTCTGCAATTGGCTATTTGTCCATTCTGCTGCAGCCATGGTATCATATTTGATGATGACTGTCAAGGATAGTAATGACACACATTTGAACTTTTTGTCTGTTTTTAAAATCTACTAAAACTTCTGAAAATATTTTTGAGAAGTCCATTATTTACCTAGGAGCTGTAGTCCTGATATTCTTATCTATTTGTTAAAGTACCAAACCAGGCTAGAAGCTCTCTCAGGGGAAATAACTACACCGAACCCTCGCTAGAACACACGTCTATATTGCACAAATTCGCATGTAACGCAGCCATGGATCCCAAATTTAATTGCTTTAATTGGAATTCATTTTAATGTGGTCCCCGCTATAACGCGGAACTGCGCATGGATCCCAAATCTTGTGCTCTAGCGAGAGTCCGGTGTATATTCACTTTAGTCTCAAACTTCCATAAAGGTTGCTAGAAATAGTGTGAAGTACTTTAAAGACTCACTGTATTGAGTCTACCTCCTTTAGCTCAGTGTTATCAAACAGCATTTTTAAGGCTGAAATTTAGACCAAAAAATCTTTTCCTATTAACATTTCAGTTCATGCTGCAGAAAAACATCTCCTAGGATGGCTTTAGCACATGTCACCTGCTGAGAATAGTTGAGAACTCCACTGAAAACACATGCTAATTGAGGTTGTTCTTTCCCCTTGCACAGTGTGTATACCAAATTATACACGGAGGAACACTGGTTAAAGAAAGTATAGTTTAAAAAAAACAAACCTGAGGGCTAGTTTCTCAAACTGTAGGACAATTGTTTGGTTTTTGGCCTTTAACCCTAGTGACTTTGAGAGAGAGCTGCTGAAATTGACATATGACAAGCCCTGTTGGATGAGTTAGGAAACACTTGTAAACTAACTGCTGCAGCTTTCCAATGACGTAATCCAAGCCTTTTTCGCTGCGTATTTTTAAGTGACATGGCAGGTGGGAAGTTGAAGAGGAGAAGTCAGAAGGTGGATTAAAATGGAGTGGGTCTCAGATCTTATGACAAGTGATGCTGTCCTGTGCACATACATGTCAGCTACTGAGTTTGTCGCACTTCATCTTTGGTTTAATTTATGTAATGAGACTTTTTTTCACAAAGTGTGGGGATGTGTACAGTTATTGACATGCATTTTAATCAAGTGACTGGTATTGAAAGTCTTTAGCATTGGATTAAAATATCAGTCAGAATTGTTTCAGCTAAAGCTGCTGTGTTGGAAATGTCTCCAGCTGCCTTGACTAGGAAAAAAGAGAGGTCGGATATTAAACACAAACTATTAAATGAATGCATCTGATACTACAACAGGGGTTCTCAAGCTCTTTTGAATCATGACCCCCCAACTTTACAAATATTTTTGGAGGCACCCACAATATCCTACACATTTGTAATGATATGTGTAATATTATCCTTTAAAATCACCCTCTAAACTTTGGTCACTATCTTGCATCTTCTGTCATATCCCAGACCACTTCGGTTCCAATTTAATTTATTAGTGCTGTTGTGCTGACTATTAGATGAAGGAAAAAACAGTGTTAAGCACTGTGAAATTACCCAAGGTACAATCTGAACTGATGAACAGCTGTCTCCTCAGTTCTCCAACATGGGGAGCCTTTTACATTGCTTTGCTGTGAGAGCTACCACTCCTGGTTTGCTCACTCACAGACTCTAGCATGTTACTTACAGTTAGAGTCTGAGTGCTATAGCCAGCCACTCATGAATTACACTGGAGAACAACACTAGGAAATTCCAAGTCCCAGACTTTCCCCAGAAGTGTATGTCTTATGCTATCCAGCTCTTTACTGGACAATGCATGCTCATGTAAAGTCGGTCATTTTAATAATAGAAAATGATTTGCACAAATCCAGTAATCCCAAATAGGGTTTCCCAAACATACTGTTTTAAATAAAACA